ATTTTCTTAATGTTAGTTTACCACGCGTGATATAACGTCAATGTAATACCAGAAAAAATATCTTAAAAGGTAGACATATTATGCAAGTATATCTGGTACTTGGTCAAACTCGGAGTAATATCGAGGTATTAATAACTTTTTAATTAAAAATAATTGAAAATTAGATAAGAGAATAAAAAAAACGAATTTTATCATAGAATATGTTGGTTAGTTATTTCAAACTAACTTATAAGCAACACATAAATAATATAGAAAATATTCCACGCACATACACACACACATACGCATAAAAAGAATAACTTATATTACGAGAATGAAATTGTCTTTCATCTAATAGATATAATGATAAGTTTTCTGAGAGAGTCAGCACGAAAATTGCTGACGACCAGAACGATGCAATTCTGTCGGGCACCGCGGGGCATCGTGTGAAAAAAAAACAGAGGAAAAACTATTAGTTCCGGAGTGAGGGGAGGGGATGCGAGAGATTCGCGGGGGTGAGGAAGGTACTTGTAGATGGAGAACGGGAGAGACTGGACTTCCCTCGCGAGAGAGCTCACCCTCGAAGGACTCGCGCGCTGCCTTTCACGCTCATTTCATAAATTCTAATTTATCGCCCGCGGAAAATTGGATCCGGCTAATCCCCGTGATCGATGCCGGCCTACGTTCACGTATATTGTAACACGTCGATGCGCGTGATGCATTATCGTCGGCGCAGCACCTGGAAGAAAAATACTTCGGCGATCTAATCGATTTCGCGGCTTGATTAGAAGGTGGTCTCTCTAGCTAAGCAAACGCGAATGTACTTTTATTACGAAAATACTTGTGATTATTATTCCATGATATGTTGAGGCTATTTCGTTAGTTATTTATTAACTACAACGGTTTTTCTGGAATTCCTAACGTAAGAATAAGTTGCGGGAAACGTTTTATCTGTAGTCTAACACATTTTCCCGTTAATAGATAATTTCATCCTCGCATTTCTAATCGTTCATAAATTTATTACAAGACAATGTGACAGAACAGGTATATTTGTATATATTTCTGTTATTAACAACACAGGATACATCAAACTTCGAATTCTGTACAGTCGCAAATCTAACAACGCAAAGTGTTCGAAATGTTTTACGGAACATCTTGCAATCTGAATTCCAAAATTAACAAACAGTTCGGCGCTTCATATCTCCATTGTTGTCATGAACTTTCGAATAACGCTGTGACATATCGTCTCGTAACTGCATTTGAAAGCCAACTACCCTTTCGAGTAAGCGCCAGCGTGACGAGATGGGGGGTAGTTAGCGTGTGTCCTCCGATTAGTCGTTTCCCTTTGACTGTTTTTTTTTCTCTTCCCAAGTAGTTTTTGTCTCATGCCGTGATAGTCGCCGCTTTTTCTGCGTCGGCCAATTTTCGGGTGTGCAAACACGGCCTATTGTCGTGGCGCACGCGCCCTCGCCGTTCTCCATCTCGTTCCGTCGTCGCAGGGGTAGCTTGGCTCAGAACGCACCCTTTTTTGCCCCTATCCTCCCGTCTCGCTTGCTCTTTACGCTTCGTCCTCCGCCTCCCCCCTCCGTTGATTCTACGAACGGGATTTAAATATGCAAAGCGACTTTTTTTCAACGCCGCGTCTGCTTCTTCCCTTGTTTGGTCCGCCGCGCCCACATAATTACCGGGTGGCGGGAAAATAGCGGACAAAAAACCGCGCGCGCGAGGAGCGAGCAAGCGGGACGCGGTGATGAGTTGAAAAAAAAGATAAGAAAAAAGCCGATATCACAATTAGACCGGCCGCACTGGGGGGAGGCTGCGTAATGTCCCGCATAGCGGGTAGAAAGGGGTGGCACGATTTAACCACGCGAGGGGTGCTTGCCGGAACTGTAAACTCTGACATTATGTTCGCCCGCTGAGTAGATTTTTTTTATAGCGAATCACAAATCGACACACTTGTGTCTTGTTATACGGACAGTTTAGACATTCAGAAATTCGCGAGAATATTTTATTTGCTTAATTTTTTCAGAGTAAAATATATTACTAGATTTATTCTGTGAAATAAATAGACATTTGATTATATGATTCGTAAATGCTTGTTCTACAAGAATCTGCTGATCTTTTAATAATTGTTAAATGGCATCCGACAATATATGAGAAAGGATTAAAGAGAATGTTAAATGTCTATTACGTGTGCAACAAAGTATGAGAGGAAATAATCTTCATATACACTTATCTTATAATTATAAACTTTTGTGCACACGTGCGACTGCCAAATTGTAAAAATTATAATATTCCGTAACTTACTTCTTTACGTTACAAAATGATGCATAATCATCTAACGACAAATCGCCTTATTTATTTATTCTTTCCAGTATTCTTTCATATGGACATAACTTTGATTATATAATTACAATATTGCAAGAATTTTCATAGAAGCGTTAGACAGCGTTTCATTCAATTCGTTTGCGAAACTCATCGTCTTACGTACAATTCGTTCTTTAGCATTATCGCCGTCCGATTCGTTCCTCAGGACTCCTTTATAGGAGAGTCGCCTTTTCCTTCAAATTGTCGCTGTTAAAAAAAAATCGCGATGTGTATCATCGAGATTTTCAAGTGGTCGGTCCGAGAGAAACGCTTCGTGCGAGGAATTAATGTACAAGGTGTGTCGCGCGGATTAGTCTCATTATTATTCCCCCGAGCAAGGCGACGTCGCGCCTCAGGGTGGTAAAAAAGAAGAGGAAAAAAAACGTCTCGGAAGATTAACGAGCGAACAGCCCTTATGAGCCATCTCGACGCCTCGAAAACCGCGAGTGAGAGGGATGGAGAGACAGAGAGAAAAAGACGGGGGCAGTGAGAGAGGGAGAAGGAAGAAGAAAAGATGGATTGCAAGGAGGAATTGGATATCGCAATTAAACAGTCCGCCGACCTTACAAATTGGAGGTTGAATTTTTTCCTTAGAATCGCTGTCAGGCGTTGCTGCAGCCCTTAAAACATCGCGAACGGGGAAGGGGCGCGGAGAGAGCGAGAGAGAGCGGGCGTTCTCGTGGTACGGAAAAAAAATCCATAGGGGTCCCTCTGCGCTCATCTCTCTCGCACCGCAGCATCCAGCTTGAAAAAAAAGAGGGTGAAGCCAAAGCGAGTTGTGCGTGGCGTCAGGGGATGAGCGGAGGGGAAACTTACAAGGGTGGTGCTGATGGTGGTGGCGGTCGTGCTAAAGGCAAAACAAAAGCTGGGCGACATTCTCGGACGCCCTCGGAAACATGGCCGCTCGAGAGAGAGAGAACGCCGAAAGGAATTGCGATTGTCAAATTATCGCTGACTGAGATCGATGATTTTTAAAACAGATGCGTCAAACGATAAAAATTACTTGTGATAATCGAGCAGATAGGTTTCATTTATAATTGATAGAGCGAAAGGAGGAATGTAAAGGAAATTTTATTACAGAATTATATATAAAAAATACGCAGATTAAAAGAATATTAGAATGATTTTGAATTTGTTTACAATATACGTGTGATAATCTATATATAACAGTAAAAAATGGTTAATTGATAGCTTCGTGAATACGTTGTAATTATTTTGACAACCTGTTTCTCTCGGAACATCACAGTATTAGAAGAATATGCATAATTAAGATTATATATTAAAATTCGCACGTACCTTGGACACAAATTATCGCGAAAAAATTTATCCCCTTATGTTAGAAACGTGCAACTTTTATAAGTTAATCATAACATATTATTACTTAATTTATGATGGATGTAATAATGATGAATATCATTTATGATAATGAACATGTAGACGGGACTATACAGCACCCGGTCTAAAATATGAGGCTAAAAATGTCATTCGCCAAGTCACACGGGAGTGTCACGCGATCCTACACAAGATTAGAAACTGTCTTGATCAAACTTTTTCTGAAGCGGGCCGATAATTAAAAATTTATCTCCGCTTCGGCTTGCATTTATAATGGCAAAAAAAATCTATAGAGAGCGACCGCGCCCATCATATATAATAGATGGTCTCCCCTTCTCGGTCAACCTTCTCATCTCATTTCGTCGGTTCGACCAACCTCCACCTCCCGTTTCCATCCCTCCAGCCTCCCCTGAGCACCACCCACAGGCTCCAACCCGCTTTCAATCAATATTTAAAGAATTGCGCCTTAATAACCGCCACGGCGTCACGTAATGGCGGGTTACGGCTCCGATGCGTCACCTCGTGTAAGGGTCACGAATCTCTCTGCCTGCTCCTTCCTAAAGCCTTGCTCTTGTGAATTATCGACTGATAATACAACCGTACATGATATTGTTCATCGGTGATAATATTTCACCAATTATTGATAAGGGAGTTTCCATAAAACAAAATATATGTCTTCTCGTCTCTGATAAATATCGACAGATGCTCTATACAGAATCTGCTTATATCTATTTCATGTTGTATAATTTTTTAAATGCGCATCTCTTTCGTTATAGAAAAGGAAAGTTATGAGGAAAATAAAAATTATATTTTATATAAAATATCTGAAAGAGAGAAAGACTGTCTTCAAACAAATACGATACATTTAGATGTTGCATACGTTTTCTAATCTAATTGTTTTGAATTTTAGTAGAATATTAAAAGTTAGCTTTGCAAATTCTTTCGTAATTGTTTCTTTCGAATAAAGCTGTGCGCGGCCCCTTTTAATAGTAAAAAATATATTTATTTGGATGTGCGCGGTGTCTTGGAAAAAAAATGTATATGGAAAGAACGGGTTTGCTAAAATGCCCAGAAACTTTGCCCAGATGTAGATCTAAAAATACTATATTGGATGCTCAAGCTAGAACGTCAAAGTGTTTTGCAACATTATCATCATATTTAGCATGTTATTATAAATTAGCATATTATAAATCAGTGATGCATGCAGGAAGGAAGTACTTCGTGGAAACAGTTGCACATGATGTCGCAACACAAATACGCGTTTATTGGAAGAGAGAGGAACTGCATTAGAATAATAACTACTGAAATAATTATAGACTCTATGCGTTTCAGGGGATTTTAATTTAATTCAAGTACAATTTGCGCACGTGCGCGCGTGTAATACGTGCGGTAATAATAATCTTTGTGTTAATTGACATTGAATAACGTGACAAAATGAAGCATACAATAAACGGCACTCAAAAATAACTGAATACTGTGTCGCGTTTCTGTTTTTCTTTTTCTCTTAAAAATTACCAAGGCAATAAGTCGGAGCACTTGTCGTTGGAGTGTGCCAATGTAACAGTAATACCTGTGGATGTTGCTAATACATCATAACAATCTGTATATACAGTATTTGAGTGTCTGAGGTCCACTACTAATAAACGGTAGAGTCTTACGTAAACGTGTATTCTCCGATTACGTGTGCTTTCACACAAAATTCCACATTATGGTCGGCAAGCAGTCTTCAAGGTATTAATCTCTAAAACGCGCAAGAAGATGTTTTGTGTTAAAGTCAGTTCGAAAACTCCTGAAGTTTTTTTCCTGATATTTACGTCACATGTATATATAAAAACCGTCCTGAATGTGTTTATCACAAATCTTTTTTGTTAATACAACAGTAAAAATTTGCAATATATGAGTATTGTTTTATTAGTCCAGTAGCTTTATAAATCCCGTCAAATTTTTGAAAAATCTTGTAGAAAGCTGATCGAAAACTGGTCGTGTAAATGAAACATAGTATTCTATAGTTCATAATAAATACTTGAAAGTTTATAATTAATTAATTAAGAATATATTTTAAAAACCGTGACAACATTCTTGATACAGCTAACTCTGCAACATAAAACAATTTTTATATTTATATTATTTTATGTTAGAAAAATATAACAGGAATTGGAAGAAAAGAACGAAATAGTAGAAATTTTCAAAGATTACTTTGTGTTTGCATATAGGCGGACTTATCTGCATTAATATATAAACAATGACGTAGTACCGCTGAGATATATACGCGGCACGTGTGAGTTCGCTGGTTACTATAAATAGAACCTTCGCAGCATCATTCGTAATAAGAATATTAATAATAATACAATCACATAATATTTAATAATAATAAATCACATCTCTGACGTTCTCGTAGCTTTATTATACACTAAAAGCATCTTTGGTCTTTTTTTATTCGCCAATCGCACAAAAAGATTATAAAGTGACTTTAGATTTCAATAATCAACCAAGATCATGTGCGCAATAATATTTGAGGCTTTCCAAACATTGGGTTACCGATGAAATGAGATTATCGATTATGCGTACTTGATGATCCGGCAGTATTCGACTCTGCGATTCACAGTCTCACAATCCACCCTCTCGCCCGCCATTCAACAAAGTAAACAAGAGCTAAAAATCTCCATAATATCCATAACGTGATTAAAGCTCTCTTCGTAACATCTCCAAAAGTCCACAATCCGTGTTACCTTATAATACACTATGATATGCTCTAATTAACTTTTTATCCCGCTCGGCCGGAAATCAATAGATGACTTTGGTTGAAACACTGTACCAAAGGAAGTATTACTACGGGGCAATCTGTGGCCATACAAATCTATTGTAGCTTCTATCTAACTTTCCTTATCGTTGAGAAATTCTGCGAGCCGAGGATCCGCGGGATTCGCTATTGGGAAACATTAATGCCAACAAATATTTTACCGAAATGATGAGTAAATCGCGGAAGATTTGCCGATTCAATGCCTTGCTGGCACAGTAATCGTTTTGCGTTATAATAATAATATCAGCAAGGATAATAATAATCGCACACGCTCGCAGACGATCATAGGAAAAGGAACGCGCAATGATCAATCGTTCTGCCAAAGTCGATCATTACGTTACCGTATCATTTAACGATTGTTTTTCGACGACTCCAAATCGCTCGGTAGTTTTCGGGCAGCTTAGAGCTTTCCGAGGGCACGCGTGGTCCGCCATTCATCGGACAAGCGTGCAAGAAAGAAGCCTGACTTACGCGGGTTGCACTTTATGCGCGAACGGAAGATTCTTGGACCTACGCGTTGAGAGCTTACGAAGACGGTCGTTCGAAACGGAACCGCTCGAAAAGTATCTAGCAAGAAAGTGCGCCCGTAGTCTCAGCTTCTGATACAGCAACCTCGTTGCTTTGGTAATCATGCGGCAAGTAGATTCTTTATATTCTTCGGCGTGTTCTCCTCGTTCAAGTGCTTCGTGGTATAGCGGAGGGCGTTCAGAAGGCCTTCGCTTTTGCAAGGCGGCTGGTCCTTTAATAGCTTCACGCAGCCTTTGACCTGTAAGATTTAGACCAAACATAAAATCGAGGGAGCGTAGGCAAATGGGGATTCTTATCTGCGGAATTTTACAATAAATATTTCTTTACTTTGTTTTTAAAATTCGTTGTTTCGTAATATTTTAACTTGGATCAAATTTCATAGAAGTATATTTTTTATATAAACATGCATATACGGATAGAGAAAACGGAATTAGATTTGTTAACATTAGCTGACAGCCTTTTTCGTAAAATATTGCGCCCAAGTTTTTTTCTGATACTCACATCCACATTCGAACCCTTTACAAAAGCACCTTGGGGATGTACATGATCGTAGAGAATCACCAGACCCACCATAACCCTTAGGACAAAGAGCTGAGTCTCTTCTCGTTGGAATTGCGCCAGCAGATTCCTGGTAGAAGATATTTCCCAAATTAGCTTCGCGAAGAAATTCCTACTCTCTTGAGGCATGGCTCGCTCTCTGTCTCTCTTTGCATGTTAAATAGTACTTACGGGTTTTCCAACATTCGAAGACACACTTTTGCCATTGTACCAAGCGTTTCCGTAATGTTTTCCCTTGCTATATCTTCGTTCTAAAAACGATAAAACACAATTTTGTAAGTAACAAATACACTGTTGGAAACGGTAACTTCGAGATATAAAAAAAACAATGTAAAAACTATTTGTAAATTTAGGATAGCGAAGTTTTTTTTATATTAACTCTTTTATATCCATCGAAAAGTTTGCCTTTAAAAGGTATCACGTTGTCACGAAACATATTTGTACAAATTGAAGACGGTCTCCAAATATTGAATTATTACTTCGTAGTCGATTTTAATTAAAAGGTTGCATACACATCGGGCTTGCGTATACATGCTTATTTCTCCGACTGACGCAGTCTATATAGAGCGCTCGGGTAATTTAAATCGCAGACCAGGATACCTGTCAATTTTCCAGTTCAGCAGAGCCATTATTCTCGTCGACAATTTTTTTTCCGTCTTGCCATTACACCGCATGTCGATCACGTAACGCGGTTATTTGTCATCACAATTAATACGAACGAAAGCCCACGATTCATTGTAACATTTTTTAAAAATATCTCCGTATTGAGATAATTGATAAAAAGTGTCTTACAAAAATTAAACGAAACAGAATTTAAAACAATGTTGCAGTCATATTGATATCTTTCTATTTCATCGATATAACACTGAAAATAAAATTGCTTCCCAGATTTAATTTTAAAACTTTTAACCAAACTTTTAACAAAAAAAATTGGGTCGAAACGTTGTGTAATAAATCGATTAAATAATTAGCCAGTTCGGTTGACTATTAGTTTCCCGTCTCAATTTCTAATCATTACTGGTGACAATAAGCAAACTCTCCTTTGTTAAAACTTTACATTTCTTCATACATGTATAATTATATGAAGAAATGTAATGAATGTGAATACACTCGAAAAACTCACTAACAAAATAATATATTCGCGAGATATTTAAAAATATATGGTCAATCGATGGAGCAATATTATATACGTTAAATTGAATGATGAAATGAATGAGCGATGAAAGCTACAATTTTGCAGAAGCAGAATTACAAGAAATAGATTCAGTTCTCCAAACGATCGGAATAATTAAGGGATAAGCCGAGAAACCGCCTGGATAACCGCAGAATTTGGTCTAATTGCCAGTTAGCATCTGGCCGGATCAATAATTGTCCGGGCAACAATGGGAGGTCGCGCGGACGGGAACAATGTAGAGAGGCGATACCACTTACGTCCATCAAGAAAGTAATGGTCGCGTGACTCAGAACTCGAAGCATGGGTGTCGCGTGGGCGTAAAACAAGGACATTCGGTTGGCGAGTTCGTTCCCGACAACTAGGTCCTTTTCGGCGTTATCCTGGCGCGCCAGCGATGCCCTCGTCAATGTCCTACGATAGTAGCTGAAGTCGTTCTGAATCGCCGGCGTTTTCATTTTATGCTCGTCAAACTTTAATACAAATTCCAATATCTCCGCCAATTGTTTGACTAGCGCCTGCTGCGTCTCCAGATGTTGTGTCGGTGAGAGGTTTCCCGAGCACAATTGCCCCAGTATTTTCGGCACTACCCTTTCTATGTAATAAACAAATAAAAATCATTTTAATATTCCTATTTATTTATACAAAGCGGAAATGCTCGCGGTAACTTTAAGCAAAATGCGTGCAGTTACTACTCGATATTCGATACATGTAATATTATGTATTTGCAATCCAAAAGTAAGCGTATAACGAAATAATATCGAGAATTAATAGTTACATATAACAATAATAAGAAAGAAGTAAAATAGCTAGATAATAATTTGAATTTGAAGTTCTTAGAAATGACTCCTCTTAAAAGTTTTCGACAAACACATACTCGTACACTCTCCCTTTTTTTCTTAGTTTGTAGAATAATTAATATACATAAGCAAATTATTACTAAATAATAATATAAAAGTAGACAAATGTAGAAGTTTAAATATTATACTCTGACTACTTTACGCAATTACTTTTGTGAAAAATATTCATTAAATATAAGTATATCGGATCTCCGGGTCAATTCTGTTCTGAAATGCCTCTCCGCATTTTACATTTTCGATAACCACCAGTATCTAATATAATTAAAAGTTTACGCCACAAATACGGCTAGAAGCATTTCTCGGGTACAGATTGAAGTTTTCCCAATGTTCGCACTGATATCGGAGTCCCGAGAAGCGTATCATTGTTTTAAAAAAACCTTATCGTTTACGTGATTAAAATGAAGAGAGAAGTACCGAGTTCCAAGGAAAACTCATAGAATCGTTTGAGTTTCGCGACGAGAGGTGCCACGGTCAGATATGCTTTCCGCTGACATTCCTCCGTGGGTGCTGAAATGGCCTCTCTGATTTCTTTCCCAGCTCCTTTGTAACATTGTATCTCCTCTAAAATGGACTCTGAATTTTTCAGCACTCTTTGCACCGCCTCGAATGTCTCGCGTTCGAGGTCCGACGGTTGTGCATCTGTAAAACAGACAAATAGTACAGGCCGATAATTATGGAATAATAAATGCCTCTACTATACAGAAGATTTTGTTACGTCTCGCTATTATAGAAGAATTATATTTATTTCTCTATTACGTACGTTATTTGGTAGATTGTTAATTTTTTGTCAAATATGTACTCGTATTATGTAGAATCGAACTATATTATGGAAACTAATAGTACACAGTAAGTAATGCGAGGAACAGCACTTAGAATTAAGATTCAAAGATTTCTTCACGAAAAATTTATATACGACTCACTTTCGAAATCCAAGAAGACGTCGTACTTTTGAGGAGTGCAACAGGTAGACTCATCTCGAGCCAAAAGACTCAAAAGCTTGCCCATCGTAAGTGTACAGCTTCTTTCGACAAGAGTCACTTTACAACGTGAAAGGCATCTGCAAGTTAAAGAAATTCGAGTTACACGATGTAGGCTTTCATGCGTTTTGAATAACAATCATTTAATCGTACTGTAGCACTTGTATAATACCGCGATATTATTTAGAAATATTTTTTAAAATTGTAGTTCGTGTAGTCGCAGTGATTTAAACGAGCGGTAACAAACTCTTGACGTTCAAAGTAAACTTCTGAGATACAGTTATATTATAATTAAGACCTTATCTCGCTCGATATTGTTTCATTAATTCTAATTCTATTGAAATTCCGGACTGATGTTAATAGATTTAAAACTGGTTTACAAGAAAGCATAGAACTTGTATGAGATTATTATAATTTTCCATTTGAAAATACAATTTAAAGTATGTCGGAGACACTGAGAGATTAAGCCCGGGGATTCTTCAACATCCCGCGCATCGAAACAATTTTTCGCAAAGTATACACAAATGCTCTTCTTGTTAAAAGCACGAAGAGAGTTCACAGGATTGTCACGTAGAATACTTGCGGAATACTAGAAAGATTAATCCGCGACGAATATAAACGGCAAACAGACGGTTTAATATGATTCAGTTTCCGCTCGAGCTTCAACCGACGAGTGGTAACTTGTCACTAGTCCGAGACTACAATGAAATTGAAATTTCAGGCTGCAGCCTGAACGTATATATTCACTCGGCGTACATATATATATATGCACGTCGAACCATTAATTCCGGACAGGCGACACACGCGCACGCCTGGACGGCTTGGATTAACGCGTATCCGTATCGATACCGCGGAACAAATGGATTCTGCGAACTCGTCGGCGGGGAGATGAATCTCGTTGATCAGTTTCAGCGAACGGAACAACCCTCCCTCACCTGAAGCGTTCGCGAAGGGGTTCCATTCGGCTGTTCTTCGCACCGATAGAGGATGACTCACGTGGGAACGTCGCGATCGCGTTTTACGCCGCGCGGACTCGACGAGAGAGCATCACACGTCCGGGAGGACCGAGCTCGCCCTTGTCACTTGCGCGCGAGAGGACTTGCGATCGGCTTTACGGTTTCTAAAATTGCGAACGGCGGGATTCCGCCGTGCCGGCCGCGTTATTTTCGGCCCGAAAGCGCATTTCACGCTCGTCATCTTCGGTCGTCGAGCCTCTCCCGGTTTCTCTCGGGGAAAACGATCGTACACCGCGCAAAGACCAGGTTGCTGAAGTTTCCGATTCGTACGGATATACATATGGTAGTTTTTACGATAAACCTGCGATTCGAATTTATTCCGATCTTAGCAGCTGAGCTTGTTTGGAAGAACAGTTATGAAAAAAATTAAACAAGAACTGGTTTTTCCAGTCAGCGACAAACTTGATATCCTTTCATTAAAATTTCCATCTGAAAGTTGATGTTAAAAGTATATAAATACTCGAAGCTTATGACCGGTGAGGAATTCTTTCCCGTTGAAATGATCGACTCGTCGAAATGTTCAGACGATTGGAAAACTGGATTTTAAGACGTACAATTTTCTGTGCCTCCAGAGAGAGAGAGAGAGAGAATCGATTTAGCAACATATTTTTATTTAAATTTGCACTGTGCGCAGTTTTATATAAAAAAAATGGCATATTGTTACAATGATATCGCTGTACCGATTGCTGTACCGTTAACGATAATAGCACATTTCATCAATAACTGCGGGCAATATCGATGTGCAACGAAAATAGCCGTCGAGTTGCAACGTAAAATAAATGTTTGCGTTTGACATTCCTCTCGCGCTCTCCATTGCGAAACGTTTGAGAAACAACGACGCTATTTGTTGCGACATTAGCTTGAAATTATTCGATTTTTTTTTCATCTGCATATTCTCTCGTGTACGCTTTCAACAGATAATCAAAAACTTTTAGAAACATATATCTACGATAAAGCAGTCTATGCTACATGCCAATAATAATTGCGAAAAAAACAATCTAATTATCATTGTTATAGGAATGATTGCACTTTCCCTAGAAATTTCAGAGATGTACCTAGCTTTTTGGTAATATATAAAAAAAACGGGATAGAAGCGGAAAAAATTATTTATAGAAATAATTATCCTTTGTTGCCGAGAGAAAAATTGTCGCTTAAAAAATTTTAAGCCTTAGCACTCACTGCAATTTTATTTTTTATTTAATACACTCTATTTAAAACGTAGATATAAATGCACTCGTCGCTCACGTGAATTGTTAACGAGTTCCACGACATCTCCGCCTACCTACGTTAATATCCACAATAAGAGTGCTATGTGCTCGCGGATCCCAACCTAACGCGAGGTTCTCATATCATTGCGCTAAAACAACAAACCGGCAACCCATCCAAAACGGTTTTCCCGACATTTGACGTCAAAACTACCATGCACATTCGCGAGTGAGTTCAAAGAATCTGTACACCAAACACTCCAAGGGTCTCTTCGATTAATAGATGATGCTACAAAATTATCGCGCACGTACAATTTTTAAACCATAATTACAGTGAGGCTTCTCGTTTCTTGCATAATTACAGTACTATGAAAATCTCGTCCTCCGAAACACCACCATTTTTATTTTTACCTACAAATAACTATCGATATAATTGACAATTTTTAAAAGACGAGTATCCAAACAGATTCGACTTGAAGACTTAGTTTCATTAACGCTGCTATATTTAATTATTATCTTCATCTTTCAACAGTTTAACTGTATTTAAAGTTAACTGTATTAATTGCATCTTAACTTAACTGACGTAAACAAGAGCGGTAACGTTAAGGAATAAAGTCGCTGTATCAAATGATATTTACAGTGTCACAAATTGACGAGATCGTTGCGATGTTTGCCATCTACTTTCGCACGAGCGGCAGGCTCGCCGTCAGGAACTCGAATCGTGGGGGGGGGGGGTCGGATCTTGGCAGCCGGGCTTTTACGAGGACACCCCGAGAATTCCGGGTGGCGTTAATCGCGTGACGTTTGACGGGCTCACCGTCGCGGAATCGCGGCGTAATCGGCGCCGACGGCGCGAACACATGACGGCGACAGGTGCACGCCGAACGGGACGCCGCGCCGGCGGGAGCGTCACGGGGTCAACGGGCACGCGAGACGGGTGCAACAACTGTCATCCGGTGGCCGGCCATGTTGTGGGTCGGGGGGTTGCTCGTGCTAGGAGCGCGAGTCCTTCCCTTATTTGGTAAAACGGCGGTGGCGGCGGCGGCGGCGGCGGCACGCTCGCGCGCGCGGAAAATCGATGGGGGTTGCTTCGCGGCAAGGGTAGCGAGATGGCGCTTGAACGGGGGTGAAATTGCCGAACGAGTATCGAAATATCGCTCGCGTAAATTTGGAAGCGGCAAAACAAAAGCCTGCGGCAGCGGGAAACGATTTATCGAATGCAGGAGGAGACGATTCGGTGGATACGCGCGCGAGAAGATCGGATCGATAGCGGGGAGAGTCGGGAGAGAAATCACGATCCGGAAAGTTACGAAGGGGACTGTGAGCCATTCCAATACCGTTATCAAGATATATCTTAGAGGCTTCTTCCCGTGAATCTGTCACGATAAATTGCAGAACTTATTTAGCCACTTTACTTCAACCGCCGAGGGTCATGCCTGGAATTTTCGTTTAAACTTTCATACAGGAGTTAGCTTTCAAACTAGAAATATTTGCAGTTTGACGCTAAAGCAGAAATCTTGAAGAAAATTTTATACAGCGTTAAAAAAAAGAACTCTTGTTATTGCGATCGTTTCATTCGCATTGGAAAGTTGTACGATTCATATTCGATAATCCAAGCTTGGATATTTTCCTTTTCTCTTGAGAATGCAGAGGGTGATGTGTGCAATTCCTGCGGTTCTTTCTCGCCGCCAACCCTCAAACCAATATTGTGGTTTCAATCTCGCAAGAGATCAATTTCGATATTTATTCAAAAGTTGCGTTTCGAGCACGTTTCACATTGTCACGACGAAGGTATTTGGACACGCATTGAACGTGCACCGATCTATTTAACGAAGATACTTTGTATTGCGACCAATGTGCCTTCACGTAATGAAATCTTCGATATGAGAGAAACAGTAGCGCGCACAATCAGCTACGAATAATAGAATAACACAATGGAGCGTTTCGAAAGCTGGGAGTTTTGTGTGTGTGCAGCTGGCATCTCCAGCATTTATATGATTCCGTTAATAAGAGGAAAATTTCACGATTATATTTCCGTTAATAAACGAAAAACTTGAAAATTATACATTTCAACATTGACACCGCACAATAAACGCAACTGAGTTAACAATTTATCGAGACACAATCGAGACACAGCGTCGTTTTGAAGAAGCAATCGTCGCAATGAAAAAGTAATTGTATCTATCGGTATCTATCGCGAGGATTCAGCGATCACGCGACGATATCGTTCGCTAATTATTCGCAGAAAACGATCGAAGTTTCTTCCCGTACTTGTCGCGAACGCGTAAAAAACAATATAATATGCGAAGCGGCGCGGGCCACTAACTCGGTTCGACTTCGCCGCGATTCGTACGAGACGATCGCGTTGCATAGATGATCAAGATTCTCGTAGAAAGTAATCGCATACGAATAACATCGATACGAATGAACAATCCGATGTACGGCGTGACTTTTTTTTGCCGAGCGCCGTTGACCGAGCACGAATTCCAAGAAATGACGTACGCACCGTAGTAAACAACTTGTCAGTCTCGAGTGCCGATTACAATGACGTAGCACCGTGAACACTTTTTTCGAAAACAGTCTATTGTGCCGAATCAGTCGGCGCGAGTGAGTCGAGCGAGGCGGATGTTCCGCGTGTCGTCGCGTCACCCCTCGTAATGCGATTACTTTCTACGAGAATCTTGATCATCTATGCAACGCGATCGTCTCGTACGAGAGTTTTAACATCTATCCATTGCGTTTAAGGAATTGTCGCGATCCGTAATCACGTCGGTGATTAATAACGAAAACTTATAACATATCGATCGCTTGCCAAGACATAATCTCTCCAACAATTAAACGTATAAAAGTGCGCGTATA